GTGACGTATAGAATGCCTTTACCTCTATGAAAAGTTTTTCTTTACGTTAGTATTCTCCTTTAATACACGTTCTTACTTTTGGCCGTGCGTTTCTATTTTTTGAAAAGTGTATTTTAAGTCACCAAAATAGGCATGAAGTACCATTACCAATATATAGAATCGGGTTAGATAATTTGTGAGGTTGTGGACAGTCAGAACATGCAGGCTGGAGACAAAACATAGAACCATTTAATTATAAGCCTGTCTTGTCAGATTTGTCTGATCGAAAACTATTCTGCAATAAGCTTCCTCAAAGGGAGCTAATCATGTAATGTCAATAATTGAGTTGACAATATAAATATGTTCCGACGTGGGAAACTGCAGTCTACCTTTGATTTAAGATTCTGTGAGTTGTCTCCATGGATCGTCGTTGAGAATATACTTCCATCTGTAAAGTTATGGCGCATGTTTCACTCATCTTATAAATAGAAACAACAACTTATATCGATTACAATAAACGTGTTTTGTTGTTTCACCCCCACCAGTCTTCAGGTATATGCTGGCAGAAAGGACCTACCCAAGTCTGGCCCACGAACTTCAGTTACTGATATTGTGGGTAATGATCAACAACGCCAGGGTCGAAGCACACACAAAACAGCCAGTTCACAAATCTGACCGCACGTGGTCACTCGTATTCATAAAAGTTATGTTATGACAATAGCTCTGTTGTTTAACGCTGCACTCAAGCCATTTTAAGCTATGTGAGGGCGGTCTGCAACATACTCGAGTCTGAACCAGACAATCCGCTGATGAACATCATGAACATCGACCTACGCAACTGAGATACAATGACATGCAGCAATCAAGATCTGATAAGCTGACCACCCGATACATAGCAGCATCTTGCGACAATCACAGGTTGCTGAAGACAATGTATCCCGGATCTTCCGCTGGTCGACAATAACTCTGATTGTCTCACCAACCCACCTTTCACACTGTAGACTTCCATCGTAGCAGTTGAGATTGGAACAGGCCAGTGATGCGTCATTGTCTCCTGCCATGACGTAGCTTGTACCAGGAGCCAAAAGAACCATTCAGTGGGAAGGATGCACCGCTCAAGGCCACAGTCCCGTTGAAACTGTAAATGCTCATGACCACTCCCAAAAGTAGGGCCCATAGCTAAGCGTGTCCGTAAATTGCCTCGTTGCCGTTTGTTGCTGGGTATTTTTGGGGCTGCTGGAACCTTTGAAGTACAAACGGAACAGAAATGCTGTCAGGGTCGACCTGCAGGCACCAGCCTACCCAGCTGACCGCGGTGTAGCCACCAAACACGCAGTCCGACGTGTTGTAGAAGACTGGCTGCCTGTAGGCCCCTTGCTGTCACACTCCCGGGCGGTGCTGGAACAACCATCACGGGAGGCCTTGTACAGAAGTTCAAAGTCTTTCCTTGCGTTTTAACCATCTGTTCAGTTGTTTCTGATCCTTTCATCGTCAAAGTTCGTTCCATGATCTGATGTTGTAAAAACACTAATTAGCCACGCGTAATTGTATTCTGTGCTCGAAATAAGCGCCTGTCCGTAGGTCCGTGGCAAAGGGATCTCGTCGGGACAGTGCTTTCAAAGGGATGGGGGTACGGGAATATAGGGTCTACAATAAATTTACATGTCTATTTGAATGTCACAAATAAGGACCTGCAGCAAAAGTCAACGATACGTGATGTCAATGATCTCTAACACAGCAAACAATAGTTTATGTATATGTTATCATCCCAGACATTGGTACACGTTGTTGGTTTTAAGGAGATTAAATGCCTAGAAATATCGAAATATTCTTTCTGTTGTTGTGTACTGAAAGTCAAGCCCTTCCATCATTTAATTTTACATTATTACGAGGGTCGGTTAAAGGTAGTCGGTCTCACCTAGAAAATGATACAAATGCAGCTGTTTTAAAGTTTTATTTTCTACATATTTTCTGTCAACCTCAAGCAAATTAGTTTTGCTATGTTCCAGCCCCACGATACCCATTTTGTTTGGCTATTTATCTTGATACCCCCACAAACAAAATCTGCAATAAATGCATCACAAACTTCAGGACACAAAATATGTAAGAAACATTCAGCGTGTTTGAGATAGGCAGAGGTCCTGTAGAATCAAACGTAGATATTAAAGTGCATAAAATGCAATTTGAAACTACAATCGCTTGTTAAAGTGACTCCCCATGATGTTTACTGAAAGAGCATGTTATAGAGACACTACCAAACCCCTCTCAGATGACGTAATCATAAGGACATAATTTATTCTAATGTTTTTCACTTATTCATACAAGGGGTTCAAACTGAAAAACGAATGGTCACCCAAGTGTCAGCACTCAATATATTGTAAACAGTACCAGCTTAAATATCTGGACACATTGTTTATTAAAATGGCTGAGGTCAAACAATCCAAATCTTTGACTGTTGATTATGACGGAAGAGTCAATACAATACTGATCATATTTTATACGATATTATCTGAGGACATACCGTTATCCAAGAGGCCCCAAATGACAGATCGTTTTTCATTTCTGCAATATTTTCAGAAATATTATACTAATGTGTTGTGATGACTAGCATATAACTCGTTAACCACATAACCCACATATGTGAAATGTTGGACATGGCTTTGCTCATGATTCCTTCTAAATAAAATGGAACCTTTTCAAACAGTGGACATCGAGAATATAGTTAGGCCGACTACTTTCTTACCGACCCTCGTAAACAGAAAAGCAGAGCCATGAAACGATTTTACCTCTGATATCTGACATGCTTGTTTGTCAGATATCATTGCGATGGAAAAATTCAACATGACCTAAATAACATTTTAAAACGAGTGCATCACCTGAACTCAAATGTGATGTTTGCTTTGCCACTTTAAACAACTCGCCATGTCGCCGTGGGATAATCCTATACGTCAGCATGATTCGTATGTTTTTTCAAAGAGGACGATTTCGAATGCCTTCTGCTCCCTTCTTGCGTCAACCCGAGATAGTTTACTAGCACCTCGACAAAGAAACAACAACAACAAAAATAAGCCATTTCTCTCCATTTGTGCTGTTGTCATCAATGGAACTTACTTCGGCATTCGCTTGACATATCAGATTGCTTTAAAGATCTTCTGATTGTCCATTCTGATACCTTAGGGGTTCCTTGACTTGAAGCCTTCACAGCAAGCTGTTTTCGTACCAGTTTGGGTACGCCGCCGCGAGACGCGCGATACGTCGTCTGTCATCTGCCCCATGAGTAGCACGAGGTCCCGATTCAGCCTGTCGCTCTGTCCCTAACCTTGCGTCAAATTTCTTCAAATTTCGGTAAACAGAGGCCCGATGCAGTCCCGTCAGTTTAAAAAGTCTAGTTACGGATGTAATACCTGCTTCATAATATGCCAAGAATCGATTTCTGTTGTTTTGTAACGTCATGGCAAAGCTTCGGTATCGTCTGCTAGCAACGAGGTCACGTGATCAAGCCATCCCTGAACCCAAGGGAGATAATTCCATACCAACGAGGCGGCTAGAAACAATGTATTTCGGCTTTTTTTATAGTAGGATCGAGTCTACAGAACAAAGTTTTTTGTCGCATTTTTTTTCTGCTCGTTACTATACATGTATCTCTGTATTCTACTATATTTGGTGGTTGTAAATAATTGTGCAACACAAAACTAATACATATATTACTTCTATAAAATTTATAGATAGCATGTCATTGTATTTAATGGTACAGGTTTTAAGGGTAGAAAGTATTCACGCTATTTACTTTCATACAATTTGTGTATCACATCATTTTGTTTTCAAATAGTACAGACTTTACATATATAATATATTCACACTATTTATTTCCATACAATTTGTGTATCACATTATATTGTATTCAAATAGCACAGGCTTTACATATAGAATATATTCACACTAATTACTTCTATTCAATTTGTGTATCACATGATATTATTTTCAGATAGTACAGGTTTTACATATAGAATATATTAACAGTGTTTACTTCTATGCAATTTGTGTATCTCGTGATATTGTATTCAAATAGTACAGGTTTTACATATAGAAAATACGCACACTATTTACTTCTACACAATTTATATATAACATGTCATTGTGTTTAAAAGGGTAGATATGTGTAATTATGCAATGAAAACTCATGCGGCTATACAAAACGTGTCATTATGCTCTCTTCTATTTATTCCAGGCGTTCTTTCCTGTAATTTCTGCACAATACGACATGCTAATGTTGGTGCCATGGGACCCCCTGATTCCATCTCTTTTAACAACACCAAAGTTTACTTTAACTCCTATGGCATAATCTTAACAAATGGAGGTTCTGGAACACAATCATTTCACCGTCTTCAAGTGTCACAAAATTTGAATAATGGTTTAGTCGTATCTGATGACTGGGTATCACGAAGTGGACTTTTCTTTGAGGAATGTACCTTTACCCAGAACGGTAAACATGCACTGGCGCTGTCAAGTTCGTGTGACGTTGAGTTAGTTCGATGCAACGTTCGATACAACCAGGGATTCCGAATAGCATCAGGTGATAACGGTATTAGGGATGACCGTCACTGACAGTGATATTACAGGGAATTACAAGTTTGGCTTCCAACTGTCGCACTTCGGGATATGCTAGAATAGAATCGTCTCATGTTGACAACAACGGAGTAGGACTACAGCGAAGTAATGGTTGGGAAACCATAATCCGAAACTCAACATTTAGATTCAATTCAAAGAAGCCATTCTCGCCGATCCTAGATAAAACGGAATTCTCAATATTTCTTCGTGCATCTTTGAACGCAACAAACATGGCCTGCGTATTAATGCCAGGGTGAATCGAGTGAATAGCCTTGTGACAATCACGGACTGCGAATTTACAAAGAATACATACGCAGGTGTATATGTAAAATCTGATACATATAAGCATACCTTTAACATCTCTCTCGCTTACAACACATTTGAAGGTGGTACGTCCTATACAGAAGCCTATGCGATATACATTTCCTTGATGATTTAAGCTCAAGCAGTTTCGCCTCTGTAGACATGAGAGGAAACAACATCACACATTTTGCAGATTCCAGCGACATCAAAGTGTATCAAGGTAATGGAAATTCGAACTATGCAAACATACCTATCAACATCTCTGGAAATCATTTTGAAGATTCCTATAGTAGGTATGCATTGTATCTATATGCTGATGGAGTTGATGTCGCCAACAACGTCTTCAGAAACAGTTCACGTGTGGGTTCTTTGAAATTAACGGGATCAAACAGCCGAATATACAGAAATGTATTCGAAAATCCAAACTCGACATACGTCCTGATTACGTACGGACTTTATAATGATCAGACTTCTGTTGATGCGAGCCGAAACTACTGGGGGTATCACAGATCAACGGGGAATCCGTTCACGGATATATGACTTGTATCATAACATCAGCAGAGCTGAGATACAGATTGACCCATACTTCACATCCAAGTCCATGGACATGACTTCAAGTGGGACCACCATGTTCACTGATGCTGAGCCCTCTGACGTTGGAGGAGTGTTACAGGAAGATGCCCTTGTTCGCCCAGATCAGAGACTGATGGTGAAGAGAACTATTGTAGTACCTGAAGGACAGACGTTTACCATCATGCCAAATGTCACTCTTACCTTCCATGGAGCCCAGGGAATCATTGTTAAAGGTAAATATACATGCCATGTTTACAATCAGTGTTAGCTGCCACATCAATGTGTTAGGTTAAATTCAGACGTTCAGAAAGAGTGAATGAGTGAGTTTAGTTTTACGCCGCACTCGGCAATATTCAGCTATATGGCGGCGATATGTAAATAATCGTGTCTGGACCATACAATCCAGTGACCAACAGCATGAGCATCGATCTACGCATTTGGGATACGATGGCATGTGTCAACAAAGTCAGCAAGCCTGACCACCCGATTCCGTTAGTCGCCTCTTAGACAAGCATTGGTTACAAAAGATAATGTCTAAACGGGATCTTCACGGGTCCTGACGTTCAGAACATGATATACATGTATATATGATGAAAAGAAGTGCTTGTTTACACTAAGGAACAGGATATCATTTCGTTGTACTTAAGGAACCTTATTTTTCAGGTACACTGAAAATTAATGGATCAGCAACTTCACCTGCAATTTTACAAAATGGCACCAACAACAGATGGGGAGGCTTGATTCTTACGAACAGCAGTAAGTGAATGTACATTGGTACGATCAACAGTCAGTCTTTCAATGCTATGTTTTCTCATACTAGGCATACGTAAACCCAATGATAAAAGACTTATCATATCTGTTTTGGGTTAGTTTCAGTACCTTAACGTTATAGTTGAACCCTACCCTTTCCCTTTATTGTAGGTCTGGAAGTTACCCATGGTGTCTTGAAAGCAGCAAGGACAATTGAAAACCTCCGCAAGGCAAAATGTTCCTCCAAGCTGGTGTTGTCTCTGCTCCATAGCTATGTCGAAGTAGATTCGCTTAAACTGGGATCTCACTACTTCAATGTAACAATATCAGAATCTCAGCTGATAACCCCGAATAATGATATAAGCCTGTCTACGTGTTCAGGGACATTAACAAGCAATGACACTGGAAATATTATGTTAGAGAACTCTAATGTCACCTCAAGGGCAGTAACAATCACCACGAAAGGTGATGGTGCTCTACATGCGTTCACAGCAAGCGGGTCCGTTTTCAATACAGGCGGTGTTTTATGTGACTCAACCCACTCATTGACGACTGTAATGTTTCTGAACAATACACTTAATGTGTATGAGGGACGCGTATTCAGGGTAAAAGGTCAATATTTAGATGCTGAAATTGCAAATAATTCATTTTTGGCTTCGTCGGGAACTGCTGACGTAGATCTTAGCGGCGATGCTGACAACAGGGTTATAATTAGGGAAAACAATTTTAAAGTTGGAAATATGGAAATTAAATCACAACAATCTCTCGATGAGAAAATAAATGCAACCATGAATACCTTCAATTCTTGTCTGCTTACACTGAAGACCCCAGCAATGATTTCAGGGATACCATTATCAACGCTAGTTACAACTATTGGGGGAAAGACACATTTTCAGATATAGAAGTAAAGATATATGACAAATCTAATGACGCAGTCCTACCTGAGATATCAATCATGCCATTTTTCAAAGATAGGGAAATGACAGAACTTGTGGAGACAACACCTTTTCTTGACTCAAACGGAAAATTAGGTGGTACCGTTGGTGGAACCTTTACACTGACGAGAGCACAAAGTCCCTACACTGTCACAAGCAACATTATTGTTGGCAAAGATGACACTCTGACGATAGATGCTGGCGTGGAACTGCTGTTTAAAGACAGCGTTGGAATGCGAGTTGAAGGTGAGTAAGTGATTGAGTATGGTTTAAGCCGCTTTAAGGCAATATTCTAGTAACATCACGACGAACATCAGATATGGGCTTCATTCTTTGTACCAATGTGGAGAATCGAACCCGAGTCTTTAGCGTGACGAGCGGGGGCTTTAACCACTAGGTTACCCAACCGCCCTGCGACCTGAAGGTAAGGAAGAGTCTTTGAAGTAAAACCATACTGTTCATATTTGATCATATTGTTATTGTTAGAAAAGTGTTTTCCATTCTTAGGATACTCGCACTCTCTTAACATGAAATAATTTTCAACAAGTCATTGCTTGCAATAGATATGTTCACGTTCATTGCACATTCTGTGTTTAGGAGGTCTCTATGTTATGGGATCCAGAGATATGCCAGTACGATTCAACCCAGCCACTGTGGGTATACCATTGAGAGGAATGAAAGTGACTGAACAACCACGTAAGTATACACAAACACTTGTAACTATTTCCTAAAAGTAATATTACTAGCATATTGCATTGCTTTATCAGTGCGTGCTAGTACGGGCACCTGTATGACAGGAACCCCGTATTTTGGCAATGCTGTTGGGACATACGTATCATAACTACCCTTTAATCATGGACCACTGACTTGACGACCAGTGCTACACCCATGAATTCGAAGAACGGGGTTCTTCAGTAACCCATGGTTGTCGTTAGAGGCGTCAGGGGGTGGTCAGGCTCGCTGTCTTGGATTACATTGTATTCCACTTGTGTAGAGATTTGTCTGCATACATATAATTCATACATTTGCAGGAATCGTGCGGTTTGCTGGCGGTAGTGATGAACGTGAAGGAAGAGTCGAGGTTCTGGTTGGAAGAGAATACAGCACTATCTGCGATGATGGCTTTGATATTCGTGATGCTAAAGTGGTTTGCAGAATGGCAAGCTTTGAGTATGTATTTTACTGTTTAAGTCCTTCTGTTCCTCTTCATAATTATTTCTAAAAACTCCCATTGGTGCTTTGTGAAGTCCATTCTGTTTACATTCAAAGTTGACCCGTGCAGATCCGGGTTAAATTTTATCTTCAGTAAACCATGCTTGTCGTAGGAGGCGACTAACGGGATCGGGTGGTCAGGCTCGCTGACTTGGTTGACAAATACCGTCGAATACAGTTGCGTAGATCAGTGTTCATGCTGTTGATCAAAGGATTGGCTGGTCCAGACTCGATTATTTACAGACAGCCGCCGCCATGTAGCTTGAATATTGCTTAGCGTGGCATAAAACTAAACTCACTTACTCACACATTCAAAGTTGAATGTTATTTTTGTTTGTATGCAGTTACCATCAGTCTGTCGTTACACAGAACCTACAAATTATGTTGTGCATGTTTTAGTCCTGAAGGTGGAGTGACACTGGAAAAAATGCATGTTTCAAGCTTGGAAATGTCTTGGAAAGATGATGTTTCCAAGACATTTCCAATCTTGGAAAGATGATGTTTCCAAGACATATCCAAAATGGATACATGAGATATCCATACGTTTCCAATTATTGGATATGTGCACAAGGGGAGATAACTGGTGGGTGATGGTAAATGTACACCGAAAGACCTGACCCTCGTTACTTGATGAGCGAATCAAGGCCGTAGATTAACCAATTAACAACTTGATAGTCATTAAAATCAGGCTGTTTGTAGCCTTTATGACTATACTGGTTGGACCACTGAATAATATCACGCTACAAAATGAACTTGAACAGCAACATTTTCAGGTTATCATTTGCGCCTCTAAACATTGAATGAAATAATTACTATTTATGATGAAATGGATCAGAGAACATTATAATGGCATAAATGAGGCTTTAATGACTCATGTAATGGTGAAATTAAAAATTATATAATCACTATGACATTGTTAGTTTACTCATGGCCAGACACATCAACCTGGTACCGGTAGATTTATATGTATTACGTAAACATTCAGTATTTCTTAGTACCTGAGATAAGATTACACAAATTTTCAGTGAGACGTTTAATCTCAGATCATTTTGTTAGGTAGCATTCACTAAAGTAAAACTTCAATAGATCGGTCATTGGCACACTGAAGCAGATTTCACTTATACTGCATTAAACAGTATGGGGATACATAAGGCATCATACCACGTATGTGGTAACAATACCTGATTATTGCATACATTTCGATGTACATCTTTCAGCATAAACAAGTTGGTTCAACTTGGTTGTATGTTGATTAATTTCCAATTTTATATGTCCACAAGGGGAGATAACCGATGGGTGATGGTAAATGTACGCCCAACGACCTTATCAAGGCCGTTAAGATTCACCAATTAACAAGGCCTGCTGTCTTGTTAATTAGCAAGTGAACAGTTAAAACAGCCTCTGGAAGGATAACCCAGTTCCCAGTTTATATGCCTCTTACAACTTCAACTTCTTTATTCTCATAAAAACCACCATCGGTGGTACAAGAGCATTTAACCATACAATATTTACAAATGTATACATATGGACATGCGTCATGATGATGAGTTATTTATGTAACAATTTATACAAATGAGAGATAAAAAGTGATAGACAGTTGCTAAGTTTAAAATTGACAGGTGATATGACCTTGCTAATAGTTGCTTAGCTTTGATTTTCTGTAAGAATTAAGTGACGTGCATTTAAAAAGATAATGAAATTCGTCACCAACTAAGTTGCAATTACATAGTCTACATAATCTTTCTTCTCTCGGTATGTTCTGCCATCTGCCAGTTTCGATTGTAAGATTTAAATTTGAGGTTCTAAACTTCAAAATAGGGTCATGTATAGATTTTGGAAATAGAAGGTATTTTTCAAAAGACAGTGGGTTTTTTAAATATTGAATATAGAAACCCCTTTAGGGCTGAACGTTTATCTTCTTGCCATCTTAGGATAACTTGATCTGTTAAAATTCGCTTTGCTTTCTAAACGAGGGACATCTTGCATTTGGTTTTGTGATAAGGTTTTAGTTTCTATGTATGTGTGAACGAGGAACCTGGCATTTTAACCGACTGAACTTAAAGGTCACATGCAACAAAAAATCGAACATAATTAAAACACAGTTTTCACTTATTCATGATATATACAATGCATTGCTGCTTAAGAAAAACAAATAAACAAATTATAAGCCCATAATCGCAAATCAAAGTGCAATATTTTATACTTCGGTTTACTTCTCTCGAAACGAAGCAGTCAGTGATAGCCGGGATACCGAACCCAGTCTGAGCCAGTGTGCGTGCACTCAACTGTAACGGAGATGATTTTATTGGCTCATTTACCTGTGTTTATGGCCCGATACGTTAAGTTCAAATTGCATGTGGTCAGTGATTGAAGATGTGTATTGCATATTGTCATTAGCAGACAGGCAGGCAGGCAGACATATAGGTGTTAATGAAACAGACATTGAGTTTTGTTTTGCAATCAATATGTTATTTTTATGTAACGAGTACATTATTTACTTCTTTGTGTAGGCCTACATATAATCAGGATATATGCATCTTATTTCAAGCTCCGCGAACTCATTCACTGCGCATGCGTTATGAGAGCAGCGCAGCTGTTGAAACCAGTTTTCCCCAGCTCTGGGGAAATTCAGTGAATCGTTTGAACTCCGATTTCGCGGGCTTTTTTAATCGCGTTTTTAACAACTTTATAAGTTGAATTTCCATTTTATGATTTGTTTCGGTAACTCCATACCAAAAGGTATCAGAATCTGCAAAGTTGTATTTTACGTTGCATGTGACCTTTTAACATTGTTCCATGGTCAATATCGCAATATTGGCGCAATGGTAGTATACAGGAGTTTGTTTCAATTTTTGATAGCCCTATTATTATGCAAATAAATAAAATTATCAAAAATGAATAAATAATGTCATGCTCCTCCTAGAGGGAGAGGAACATAGTTGCCTTTATATAATGATTCTTATATTTCCTTGTCAAAACAGAATTCACAAATCACAGATATTTTGTGTGGGTTTGTGCGCATAATTTAATATATCATCCAACTTGATAGTAATTAAAACAGCAGGCCGGTGGTAAACTATAATGACTATATTAGTTGGACCATTTGAAGAATGGATTGGAATAGTAACACTTCCATGTTATGCATTTGAGCTTCAAAACATTGGATGAAAGAAAAACTATTTAGGATGAAATAGATCAGATCATTATAATGGCATTATATATACATTAAAGCGTCATTTATGCTATTATAATGATCTGATCTATTTCATCCTATATAATATATATATATTATAGAAGATATATTATACTTCATATATTATACACCAGCCACCAGACACGTCAACTTAATTAATTATTGCTGGAACATTGTTAAAAAGCGACGTAAACTTTCTCCATACATCCTAAAACATTTCATACTCAGTGTTGACCCATGACAGATCATTAATCATTCTTGGGATGTTGGTTTTGGACGGTGGTCCACGGACACGCCTTGCCTTTGGGATGCAGCCTTGACCTTACAACTGTTTGAAGAAGTTTCGCTAATAGCAAGCCCTCTTTGACATCAGTTCTCGTGACTCGACCGGTCGCACGTAATAATAATATCTGAAGCCAACTACGTCAATACTTCACTTTCTTCCGATGACATGGAGTTGAACACATTCTTCAAAGCCTCTTCATACTTGGTCTTTTGTGGCTGGGGAGGTCAGCTTTTCGAATACCCTTCACTCTTGTTGTTACGACTCTTCTGAAGAAAA